TTCTTCGCGACCGCTCGTCGCTGATTTACGCGACGGATTTGTTGTTGATGGGCCCCCCCCTCCAATTCGCCCCCCCCCCACCTCGCCCTTCCCCTCCCCCCTCTGGGCCCAGCAGCCGCAGAGATCGGCGGTGGCCGTGGCCGTGGGGTGACCGTCATTAGGCGGATTGCTGCTCGACCCACGCGTTCAGCCGCGCGGCGTTTGGGAGTCGTTTATTTGTTGTTGTTTTTTCTCTCGCTCCCTCGCTCTCCGTCTCCTCTCTCTCTCTCTCCGCCGAAGCGTTTACATTGGAGTGGCCTCGTGGACTCGGTCCAAGAGGTGACCTCAACGCCCCACTACCCGCCCCCACCTCTCTCAGAGGGCCCCAGTCAAGCCCCCTCCTCCTCCTACTCCTCCTCGCGCAAGCTGCCAGCGTCTCTGGGTGCCCTCGCCCCCTCCCAGTGAGTGGCTCCTGGAGATGGTGAGTGGCTTCTTGAGATGGTGAGCGGCTTGTGATGGTGAGTGGCTTGAGATGGTGAGTAGCTTGAGATGGTGAGTAGCTTGTGATGGTGAGTGGCTTGCGATGGTGAGTGGGCTGTGATGGTGAGTGGCTCCGTGATATGGTGAGTAGCTTGTGATGGTGAGTGGCTTGAGATGGCGAGCGGCTTGAGATGGTGAGTGGCTTGAGATGGTGAGTAGCTTGAGATGGTGAGTGGGCTGTGATGGTGAGTAGCTTGAGATGGTGAGTGGGCTGTGATGGTGAGTGGCTTGAGGGTGAGCGGTGGGCCCTGGAATGGGCCCCGCCAGGACGTCTTGCGATGAGTGAGAGCGCGAGCTTCCATCACCGAGGTGGAGAGCCCTGGCCGCCTCGCCCACATTGACATTTGAACCCTGACCCTGGCCGCAGATGAAACGGCCATGCAATTAAGAACCTGGGGACGAGGTGAGCCGGGTCAAATACTTACAGACGGCAGGGCCCTGTGATTTGAGGGCCGATAAAACGACTGCCTCCCACCCACCAACCTCCACCCCTCCTCATCGCCACCCCCCCCCCCCCAACTCTCAGCATCCTCCCCCAGGGGCCTGATCAGGACCTGCCGGAGAAGCAGCAGCAGCTGTGGCCCCGGCAGATGAACGCATGACAGATGAACGCATGGCCTGGCAGATGAACGCACGGCAGATGAACGCATGGCCAGGCAGATGAACGCGTGGCCTGGCAGATGAACGCATGGCCAGGCAGATGAACGCATGGCCAGGCAGATGAACGCATGGCCTGGCAGATGAACGCATGGCCAGGCAGATGAACGCGTGGCCTGGCAGATGAACGCGTGGCCTGGCAGATGTTTGCATGGCCAGGCAGATGAACGCATGGCCAGGCAGATGAACGCATGGCCAGGCAGATGAACGCATGGTCTGGCAGATGAACGCATGGTCTGGCAGATGAACGCGTGGCCTGGCAGATGTTTGCATGGCCAGGCAGATGAACGCATGGCCAGGCAGATGAACGCATGGCCAGGCAGATGAACGCATGGCCAGGCAGATGAACGCATGGTCTGGCAGATGAACGCATGGTCTGGCAGATGAACGCGTGGCCTGGCAGATGTTTGCATGGCCAGGCAGATGAACGCATGGCCAGGCAGATGAACGCATGGTCTGGCAGATGAACGCATGGCCAGGCAGATGAACGCATGGTCTGGCAGATGAACGCATGGCAGATGAACACACGACAGGTGAGCGCGTGGCCCAGCAGGTGAACGCGCGGTGGATGAAAGCGAGTGAGGGAGATCTTGACACGAGGAGCAGCAGGAGGAAGGAGGCAGTCTTGAGGCCGCACTTCCAAATCCGCTGCTGCTGCCAGGGCTCTGATAGAGGGGGCTATCATCGTTGTCATCATCAGCAGCACTCGAAGTCACTGGGCTGGCGGCGGCCACTATCAAGGATGCAGGGATTGAGGCTCGCTCGGTGATGGGGAACGTGATGGGGGGGGGGGGGGTTTGGTCCCCTCTCTCTCTCCTCCACAGCTTTAACCGTTCGCGAGATCGCCACTCATCATTAATCCGCGCCCCCCCCCACCGCCATCCACTCACTCTCCCCACCATCACCACCACCAACAACCCCCACCCCTCCATCACTATCCCACTGCTAACCGAGTTAACCCTTGGTATCCAGGCAACACGAACAGCAGCCCTTGAGCGGTGGGGCTGTGGTTAGTGGCGGTCCAGATATCGCGAGCAAATCCGTGGCCCGGAGGAATTCACCTCCAAACTGCTAAACTATTTTTTATTGCACCAGGTAAGGTCCACTTGAGCTACGTAACTAGTTTATTTCTGAAGCGACCCAGGCTCTCGCAAATGACAGCTCGATGAAAGTGGCTTCATCATCATCGTCATCATCGTCATCATCACCGTCATCATCATCGTCATCATCATCGTCTGTGTGCAGCAGCAGCAGCCCAATACTCTGAACGCGTCGTGGTGACGTTGACTCTTAAATGTGGAGGGGAAAAACCGGAGGACCCGGAGAAAAATCCACGCGACCACGGGGATAAAGAGAGACACGCAAACTCCAAATATACAGCAGCAGGCGTCAGGGTCGGGATCGAACCCACGACCTCCTGCACACCAGGCGAGGCAGTTAACATCTCCGAGGCACCGTGATGATGATGAGAGAGAGACACGCAAACTCCAAATACACAGCAGCAGGCACCAGGGTTGGGATCGAACCCACGACCTCCTGTACACCAGGCGAGGTAGTTAACATCTCCTAGCCACCGTGATGATGATGAGAGAGAGAGACACGCAAACTCCAAATATACAGCAGCAGGCGTCAGGGTCGGGATAGAACCCACGCCCTCCTGCACACCAAGCGAGGTAGTTAACATCTCCTAGCCACCGTGATGATGATGAGAGAGAGAGACACGCAAACTCCAATTACACAGCAGCAGGCGTCAGGGTCGGGATCGAACCCAAGAAATCCTGTGTACCAGGCGAGGTAGTTAACATCTCCTAGCCACTGTGATGATGATGAGAGAGAGAGACACGCAAACTCCAAATACACAGCAGCAGGCGTCAGGGTCGGGATCGAACCCAAGACCTGCTGTACACCAGGCGATGTAGTTAACATCTGACCACCGCGGCACCAAACTCAGGTCGTCGGCGGGTTTGACGCTTCAGTGCCGCTGACTGCTGCGCCACCGCTCCCCACCGGCAAGTAGCGGGGGGTGGAGGGGGGAGGGGCTACAAAGAAAACTACTGGAGTCGAATGTTTATTATTCGTGCGTGCGAGTTTTACGATCACGATCATAATCAATAAATCACGTCGCCTAAACCGAGGGCATAAAAGCACCATCCGAAACTTTAACTGCGCGATTAGGGATAAATATTAGCTCGTAAAAAAAAAAAATGTAGGATTCAAACATTCACTATCACCGGGTAAATTATACATTTAACGCAAGGCGACGAATGTGCCGGGCAATTATTAATTTTGTTTTCCTGAACCGCGGGCGTCCGCCAGAATTTTCCCGAACATGGATCGTGACCCCCCCCCCCCCCTCACTCACGGCAACAGCAGAGACAGAGACACAGAGGAGACACAGAGGAGACAGAGACACAGAGGAGACACAGAGGAGACAGAGACACATAGGAGACACAGAGGAGACGCAGAGGAGACAGAGACAAGAAAAAGTCAGAGACACAGAGACTCAGAGGAGACGCAGAGGAGACAGAGCAGACGCAGATCAGACGCAGAGGAGACACAGAGACACAGAGGAGACACAGATACACAGAAGAGACACAGAGGAGACACAGAGGAGACACAGAGGAGACAGAGACACAGAGGAGACACAGAGACACAGAAGAGACACAGAGGAGACGCAGAGGAGACGCAGAGGAGACAGAGACACAGAGGAGACTCAGAGGAGACGCAGAGGAGACAGAGCAGACGCAGAGGAGACGCAGAGGAGACACAGAGACACAGAGGAGACACAGAGGAGACAGAGACACAGAGGAGACTCAGAGGAGACGCAGAGGAGACAGAGCAGACGCAGAGGAGACGCAGAGGAGACACAGAGACACAGAGGAGACACAGATACACAGAAGAGACACAGAGGAGACACAGAGGAGACACAGAGACACAGAGGAGACACAGAGACACAGAAGAGACACAGAGGAGACACAGAGGAGACGCAGAGGAGACAGAGACAAGAACAAGTCAGAGAGACACAGAGGAGACGCAGAGGAGACACTGAGACACAGAGGAGACACAGAGGAGACAGAGGAGACACAGAGGAGACACAGAGACACAGAGGAGACGCAGAGGAGACACAGAGGAGACACAGAAGAGACGCAGAGGAGACACAGAGGAGACACAGAGACACAGAGGAGACGCAGAGGAGACACAGAGGAGACGCAGAGGAGACGCAGAGGAGACACAGAGACACAGAGGAGACACAGAGGAGACACAGAGGAGACGCAGAGGAGACACAGAGACACAGAGGAGACACAGAGGAGACACAGAGGAGACACAGAGGAGACAGAGACACAGAGGAGACACAGAGGAGAGACAGAGACACAGAGGAGACAGAGAGGAAACACAGAGGAGACAGAGACACAGAGGACACACAGAGGAGACACAGAGACACAGAGGAGACACAGAGACACAAAAGAGACACAGAGGAGACACAGAGGAGACAGAGACAATAACAAGTCAGAGAGACACACACACACCGTGGGGGGGGGGGGGGGGGTGACATGTTCAAATGGAAATCGTCGTCTTTCTAAACTCGCGTGGCCTCCAAGCAAGGAGGGGCAGCCCTGGGTTCGATTCCCGACTCTGATGTCCTTTCTGTGCGAGTGGCGTGCGTACGATCTCACCCTGTTGGGGGGGCATGGTGGGGGGCATAGTGGAGGGGGGGGGCAGGGTGGGGGGGCATGGTGGGGGGGGGGCATGGTCGGGGGGGGGGGCAGCCCACGCGGGAGACAAAGAAATCGCCGGCGTGGCGGCACGGAGCAGCAGGAGGAACATCGTGGGCCACGAGTGGTTTTATTCCAAAAATCGACAACGGAGCGGCACAGGCGGCAACGCGGAGCCCTCGCCGCTCCCACTTGGTACACGGCACGCGGCGCACGCGGCACACGCGGCACGCGGCACGTGGCACACGCGGCGCAGGCGGCGCCCCCGTCCCAGCGTGACCCCCGCGCACACAGTCCCGCCGTGTCCACGGGGCCCGCCAGGCACCCCCCCCCCACGCTGCCCCGCGGTGAAACCCCCCCCCCCACTTGACCCCCGTGAGAACCCCCTTCGCTGGGGGGGGGGGGGGGGCCTTCGGCAGGGATCCGTGCCCCTCGACCCCTGTCCTGGGGGGGGCAGCTCCCCACGTGGAGCGGCACTCAATCCTGAGGCTGTGTCCTCGAGCGTTCTGCTAGGGGCCCCGGACCCCCCCGGACGCCCCCCGGACCCTCCTGGAGCCTCCCGGACGCCCGAACTTTGGGGCCCCTCCCCCTGGGGTCCCCGCAGGAGGCCGCACGCGAGGGGGCATCTCGCTCCGCGTCCCAGCGAGAGCGCCGTGCCAACTACGGCGTCGCCACGCGGAGGAATTCTGTAACGGAGAGAGGAGGGGGGGGGGGATGAAGAGACGCACGTGGACGGACAGACGGACACGAAGAGAGATGCACGTGGACAGACAGACACGAAGAGAGACGCACGTGGATGGACAGACAGACACATGCGAAGAGACGTACGTGGATGGACAGACAGACACACACGAAGAGACACACAAAGAGACGCACGTGGATGGACAGACAGACACACACGAAGAGACGCACGTGGATGGACAGACAGACACACACGAAGAGACACACGTGGATGGAGAGACAGACACACGCCAAGAGACGCACGAAGAGACGCACGTGGATGGACAGACAGACACACGCGAATAGACGCACGTGGACAGATAGACAGACAGACAGACACGAAGAGACGCACGTGGACAGACAGACAGACACACGCGAAGAGACGCACGTGGACAGACAGACAGACACGAAGAGATGCACGTAAACAGACAGAGGCACGAAGAGACGCACGTGGACAGACGGACAGACACGAAGAGACGCACGTGAACAGACGGACACACAGGAAGAGACACATGTGGACAGACACACATGAGGAGACAGACACGATGAAACGCACGTGGACGGACAGACAGACACGAAGAGATGCACGTGGACAGACAGACACGAAGAGACGCACGTGGATGGACAGACAGACACGAAGAGATGCACGTAGACAGACGGACAGACACGAAGAAACGCACGTGCACAGACGGACACACAGGAAGAGACGCACGTGGACAGACAGACACACGAAGAGACGCACGTGGACGGACGGCCAGGAGAGTGACACACGCACCTGTCCTGCACTCCGCAATCGTGGAGTCCGTGAGTCGGGGCCCGTCCCGCGCGCCGGGTAGGGGCCCCTGCAGGAGGCCGGGGCCCCGGGGCGACGCGGCCTCCCAGGCGGAGAAGCCTCGCGAGGGCCGCGCAGCGGCGTAGGCGAGCGGGGCGAGGAGCGGGGCGAGGAGCGGGGCGAGCGCGCCCCTGGGCGCGTCCGGGGCGGCCGCCGTCTCTGCCAGGGACCAGATCTTGGGTTTTGGCGGCTGCTGCTCCTGCTGCTGCGGCTGCTGCCGCCGGTGCCGCTCGTCCACCGCCCTCCTCTCGGCGAGGGCCGCCGCCCGCACGGGGGATGCGGGCCCCGCAGGCGACCTCCGACCCCCCATGCCGCACTCCGACTCCCCCTCGTTGTCGTCGTCGCTGCCGCTGCTGCTGCTGCTGGCGCGGCGCCTCTCCGCGCCCAGGAGACGCCCGTGCAGGCCGCCGCACTGCCGATCATCCTCCTGCTGCTGCTGCTGCCGCTGCTGCTCCCCGTCGCTGTTCTCGAGGTCGATCTCCAGGTCGTCATCGTCGTCGTCGTCGTCGTCCTCGTCCCTGCGTGTCCACGACCCGGGCGGGGGTCGCTCGGGGTCACGGAGCCCTCCCACACCGACCGCCACCGCCCCTCCCTCCCCCTCGCCCCCCCCCTCGCCCCCTCCCCCGCCTCGGCCCCCGCTGCAGCCGTCGTCGCTGGCGCTCGTCTCGAGGTCGTCCGTGTCGCGGGGGCCGCCGCGCGTCTCCTTCTTGAGCCGGCGCCGCGCGTTCGCGAACCACGTGGAGACCTGCGGGGCAGCGTGGGCGGGAGGGGTACTCGGGGTCAATGACGGTGTCATCACCGCCACAACCACCATCACCGCCACAACCACAATCACCGCCACCACCGCCTCCACCAAGACATTCACCGCCACCACCACAACAACCACCACCACAACAACAACCACCACCATCACCGCCACAACCACCATCACCGGCACCACCACCATCACCGGCACAACCACTGCCTCCACCGCCACCACCACCGCCATTACCCCCTCCACCAAGACATTCACCACCACTACCATAACAACGGCCACCACCACCGCTGCCACCAAACCATCACCGCCACCGCCGCCACCAACCCACCACCGCCACCACCGCCACCACCGCCGCCACCACCACCGCCACCACCGCCACCACCGCCGCCACCACCACCGCCACCACCGCCACCGCCACCACCGCCACCACCACCGCCACCACCACTGCCGCCACCACCACCACCACCGCCACCACCGCCACCACCACCACCGCCACCACCACCACCACTGCCGCCACCACCACCACCACCACCAACCCATCACCGCCACCACCGCCGCCACCAACCCACCACCGCCACCACCAATCCACCGCCACCACCGCCACCAACCCACCACCACCACCAACCCACCACCAACCCACCACCAACCCACCACCACCACCACCACCGCCCCACCACCAACCCACCACCAACCCACCACCAATCCACCGCCACCAACCCACCACCACCACCAACCCACCACCGCCACCACCGCCACCAACCCACCACAGCCACCACCGCCACCACCAATCCACCACCAACCCACCGCCGCCACCGCCGCACCTGCGTGAGCGTCATGCGAGTGACGATGGCCAGCATGATCTTCTCGCCCTTGGTGGGGTAGGGGTTCTTGCGGTGCTCGCCCAGCCAGGCCTTCAGCGTGGCCGTGCTCTCGCGCGTCGCGTTCTTGGGCCGCCCGTGCTCGCCGCCGAGGCCGTACGGCGAGAAGCAGCCCGGCGGCGGCGGGGGCCCCGTGGGCCCCGGGTAGAGGCCAGTAGAGGCCCGCAGGCTGGGCGGCCGGGCCGCACGACACCAGGCCCGGACCTAGGCCGCCCTTCACGTCCAGCGGCGAGGCCTGCTGGGGAGAGGGGGGGGGGGGCAAGAGGGTTAGAGTGGGGGGCGGTCAAAGACTCTGTGGATTCTGTTGCTTACCCAGTAATCACCGCGTGCTCACAGCCGCTCGCTCACCGCCACTCGCTCACCGCCCCCTCGCTCACCGCCCCCTCGCTCACCGCCCCCTCGCTCACCGCCCCCTCGCTCACCGCCCCCTCGCTCACCGCCCCCTCGCTCACCGCCCCTCGCTCACCGCCCCTCGCTCACCGCCCCCTCGCTCACCGCCCCCTCGCTCACCGCCCCCTCGCTCACGCCCCTCGCTCACCGCCCCCGCTCACGCCCTCGCTCACCGCCCCTCGCTCACCGCCCCCTCGCTCACCGCCCCCTCGCTCACCGCCCCCTCGCTCACCGCCCCCTCGCTCACCGCCCCCTCGCTCACCGCCCCCCTCGCTCACCGCCCCCTCGCTCACCGCCCCCTCGCTCACCGCCCCTCGCTCACCGCCCCCTCGCTCACCGCCCCCTCGCTCAGCGCCCCCTCGCTCACCGCCCCCCCGCTCACCGCCCCCTCGCTCACCGCCCCCTCGCTCACCGCCCCCCTCGCTCACCGCCCCTCGCTCACCGCCCCTCGCTCACCGCCCCCTCGCTCACCGCCCCCTCGCTCACCGCCCCCTCGCTCACCGCCCCCCGCTCACCGCCCCCTCGCTCACCGCCCCCCTCGCTCACCGCCGCTCACCGCCCCTCGCTCACCGCCCCCTCGCTCACCACCCCCTCGCTCACCACCCCCTCGCTCACCGCCCCTCATTCACCGCCCCCTCGCTCACCGCCCCTCGCTCACCGCCCCTCGCTCACCACCCCGCCGCTCACCGCCCCTCGCTCACCGCCCCTCGCTCACCGCCCCTCGCTCACCGCCCCCTCGCTCACCGCCCCCTCGCTCACCGCCCCCTCGCTCACCGCCCCTCGCTCACCGCCCCCTCGCTCACCGCCCCCTCATTCACCGCCCCCTCGCTCAGCGCCCCCTCGCTCAGCGCCCCCTCGCTCAGCGCCCCCCTCGCTCAGCGCCCCCTCGCTCACCGCCCCCTCGCTCACCGCCCCCTCATTCAGCGCCCCCTCGCTCAGCGCCCCCTCGCTCACCGCCCCCCGCTCACCGCCCCCTCGCTCACCGCCCCCTCGCTCACCGCCCCCTCGCTCACCGCCGCTCACCGCCCCTCGCTCACCGCCCCCTCGCTCACCACCCCCTCGCTCACCACCCCCTCGCTCACCGCCCCTCATTCACCGCCCCCCTCGCTCACCGCCCCTCGCTCACCGCCCCTCGCTCACCACCCCGCCGCTCACCGCCCCTCGCTCACCGCCCCTCGCTCACCGCCCCTCGCTCACCGCCCCCTCGCTCACCGCCCCCTCGCTCACCGCCCCCTCGCTCACCGCCCCCTCGCTCACCGCCCCTCGCTCACCGCCCCCTCGCTCACCGCCCCCTCATTCACCGCCCCCTCGCTCAGCGCCCCCTCGCTCAGCGCCCCCTCGCTCAGCGCCCCCTCGCTCAGCGCCCCCTCGCTCACCGCCCCCTCGCTCAGCGCCCCCTCGCTCACCGCCCCTCGCTCACCGCCGCTCGCTCACCACCCCCTCGCTCACCGCCCCTCGCTCACCGCCGCTCACCGCCCCTCGCTCACCGCCCCCTCGCTCACCGCCCCTCGCTCAGCGCCCCCTCGCTCAGCGCCCCCTCGCTCAGCGCCCCCTCGCTCAGCGCCCCCTCGCTCACCGCCCCCTCGCTCACCGCCCCTCATTCACCGCCCCCTCGCTCAGCGCCCCCTCGCTCACCGCCCCTCGCTCACCGCCGCTCGCTCACCCCCCCCTCGCTCACCGCCCCTCGCTCACCGCCGCTCACCGCCCCTCGCTCACCGCCCCCTCGCTCACCGCCCCTCGCTCACCGCCCCCTCGCTCACCGCCCCCTCGCTCACCGCCCCTCGCTCACCACCCCCTCGCTCACCGCCCCTCGCTCACCGCCCCCCTCATTCACCGCCCCCTCGCTCAGCGCCCCCTCGCTCAGCGCCCCCTCGCTCACCGCCCCCTCGCTCACCGCCCCCTCGCTCACCGCCCCCTCGCTCAGCGCCCCCTCGCTCACCGCCCCTCGCTCACCGCCGCTCGCTCACCACCCCCTCGCTCACCGCCCCTCGCTCACCGCCCCCTCGCTCACCGCCCCTCGCTCACCGCCCCTCGCTCACCGCCCCTCGCTCACCGCCCCTCGCTCACCGCCCCTCGCTCACCGCCCCCTCGCTCACCGCCCCCTCGCTCACCGCCCCCTCGCTCACCGCCCCCTCACTCACCGCCCCTCGCTCACCGCCCCCTCGCTCACCGCCCCTCGCTCACCGCCCCTCGCTCACCGCCCCCTCGCTCACCGCCCCCTCGCTCACCGCCCCCTCGCTCACCGCCCCCTCGCTCACCGCCCCTCGCTCACCGCCCCCTCGCTCACCGCCCCTCGCTCACCGCCCCTCGCTCACCGCCCCTCGCTCACCGCCCCTCGCTCACCGCCCCTCGCTCACCGCCCCTCGCTCACCGCCCCCTCGCTCACCGCCCCTCGCTCACCGCCCCTCGCTCACCGCCCCTCGCTCACCGCCCCTCGCTCACCGCCCCTCGCTCACCGCCCCTCGCTCACCGCCCCTCGCTCACCGCCCCCTCGCTCACCGCCCCTCGCTCACCGCCCCTCGCTCACCGCCCCTCGCTCACCGCCCCTCGCTCACCGCCCCTCGCTCACCGCCCCCTCGCTCACCGCCCCTCGCTCACCGCCCCTCGCTCACCGCCCCTCGCTCGCCGCCCCCTCGCTCACCGCCCCCTCGCTCACCGCCCCCTCGCTCACCGCCCCTCGCTCACCGCCCCCTCGCTCACCGCCCCTCGCTCACCGCCCCTCGCTCACCGCCCCTCGCTCACCGCCCCTCGCTCACCGCCCCCTCGCTCACCAGACGTGGTGCGCACACCCGCGGGCGGCACAGCGACATCTGTTGTACTGCACTGCCGTACACCCCCCCCCCCATACATACGCTGACGTGCATACCTAGCAAAGGTAAAGGTCCCCCCCTCCCCCCGAGAAAGGCTTCTATCAGACTGCATGTTTACCATCAGTACGTGGGGTTAAGGCACGCTTGATTGCTTGCAAAAAAAAGTTTTATATTTAGTGTTTGAACATCTTAACACCAGCTTGATTTCCTCAAAGGGTAAAACCTCTTCTTATTTGTCTTCATTTTTGAGACTTGCAAAAAGTCATCCCATAGATGTAACATCTCGACCCTGGCTCTAAGTGCTCTGATACTCGCCTTGTCTTTGTCACTGTTCGCCTTTTGGCGTCATTCTATGGTCCGACACCGCTGGTGAGAGCAGGCCGCCAAGAAGCATGTTCTCTGGTATTGGCCATTCAGTTTCCAAGACAATGCCAACATTTACACTATGAGACATCTCCTTTACCAGTGACAAAATATAGTAATAGGTGTTTACCCTTTAAACTGGTACAAAACTGACACCTTTATAAAAGGCATCATGTTTGCAATAACCACAACACAAGCAGTCAAAATGCAAACAAAACGAAACAACTCTGATAATGGCAATGATATGCACTGTCCTTGAAGTTGATTGGTCCACACCCGAGACAGCTTTTCTGATAGTGCGCTGTTTTTGAGTTGTACGCCTTTTGGCGTCATCTGGTCCAACACCATGTGAGACTAGGCTCTAAGAAAAGCTGTCTCGGGTGTGGACCTATCAACTTCAAGGACAGTGCATATCATTGTCATTATCAGAGTTGTTTCTTTTTGTTTGCATTTTGACTGCTTGTGTTGTGGTTATTGCAAACATGATGCCTTGTATAAAAGTGTCAGTTTTGTACCAGTTTAAAGGGTAAAAACCTACTACTACAATGCCAACATTATCATCATCGTCGGAGCCGGGTTTGTGCCATTGTTTCAAGTCTCATCCGATTGTGGCAAGTTGCTTTGGTTTTTCCGAGTTAAAATTTGTTTAACAAAAAAAAAAGCATCTCACGTTTACTGCTCCAGATATTTATTTACGTGCGGCGAACCGGTATTAACCGGTTTAAAAACACACACAAACCGGTTTTCCACCACGCGGTTACCGGTTATGTTTAAAAAAAACCCCAAATTTTAACAACCACATTATGTATAATACTATACACGTACAAAAATAACAATCGCCCGTTTCGCTTAAAACATACACGCATACGTGGACATACGCACACACGTACACACATAAATGCATGTTAACATGCACAACGCATACAGTATATACACGTTTAACACGTAGACTATCGCTATCAAATTTCGATTTAAAGCTTTTGTGACTGCAGGGATTCATCTTCTTGGTTATTTCATTCTACGTGGCTTTACCGAAAGGACCAAGAAGATATCGCTACCAATGTCATCCATAAGAGGTTTTTTATGGGGTTAGATCCCGTAAATATATAAATGTGTCGTTAAACCCACCACCACCCGACACAGCCAATTAGATTATAAATGTTGTGGATTTGATCTCCGCATTTCTGGCTGCCGCTTGATGAAGCTAGTTGTAATTACTGGCGAAACGTCGAACTCCGATTGTAAACGCTGTGGATTTACTCTCTCCGACACACCGGTGGAGTGCTGTACTCGTATACTACACTACACTACTATACACTACACTACTATACACTACACTATACACTACACTACACACTACACTACTATACACGTCACTATACACTACTATACACCACACTATACACTACACCACTATACACTTCACTATACACAGCACTACTATACACTACACACTAATATACACTACACTATACACTACACACTACACTACACTATACACTGCTATACACTACACACTACTATACACTACACTACTATACAATTCACTATACACTACACTAATATACACTTCACTATACACTACACACTACACTACTATACACGTCACTATACACTACTATACACCACACTACTATACACTACACTATACACTACACCACTATACACTACACCACTATACACTTCACTATACACAGCACTACTATACACTACACACTAATATACACTACACTATACACTACACACTACACTATACACTACTATACACTACACACTACTATACACTACACTACTATACAATTCACTATACACTACACTAATATACACTTCACTATACACTACACACTACACTACTATACACGTCACTATACACTACTATACACCACACTACTATACACTACACTATACACTACACCACTATACACTACACCACTATACACTTCACTATACACAGCACTACTATACACTACTATACACTACACACTACTATACACTACACTACTATACAATTCACTATACACTACACTAATATACACTTCACTATACACTACACACTACACTACTATACACTACTATACACTTCACTACTATACACTACACTATACACTACACTACTACACACTACACACTTAGTGCTGTACTAGTGACGAATTGGCCACGTTCTGTTAACGTGACACAACCCTTACGAGTTGGCTGTGTCGGGTGGTGGTGACGGGCTATAAGGACACATTAATATTTACGCGATCTCACCCAAACCACCCCCCCCTACATTATGGAGCATACATACGTGTAGTAGATACACAAAAGGTACCGACTTCCCGTCTATGCTGCAATCACGCAAGTGAACTCCGCTCGTCATCGAACAGAGACGGACGCGCTTCTGCGGCCGTCTGGAACGCTCTCTTCCTTCACGACGTCAGGAAGCACCCGGGGCGATGCCCTTTTTAAATCCTTTATATTAAGTTTGCTTGCTTGCGCGCTTACGACCGTGCAAATTTTTCGCTCGTTTTTTAACCCACTTCCCGTGATCCAATCGAGCTGACATTTTGCACACAGACTCGTTGTGCGTGACAATGTATTTTCGTGAAAAATGTTTTCCTAAATTTTACACTTTTTATGAAAAAATAAATTATATTTAATTACCAATTGCTTAATGGTGCCAGCCATTCATCTGACCCATAGGTGGCAGCCATCTCAAGCCAGAGGACGAGAGGACTCTAGCCGCCACGCATATAAAGGATTTATAGTGAAAAACTTTGTTTTTACGGGTTAATTTTTACATCATCGAGATCGACGAACTCGTCTCTTGAGAACCGCTGTGCGCGTGTTTCAGTTCTTCTCCCCCCCCCCCCGCACCTCCCGATGAGTGCGGTTGGCTACGTACGGTGCGAAAGAAGTTCAACGCACACGTACGTAATGCAACACATTGCGCCAAGGCAATGATCTCACCGGATAAGCCGACATGGGGCTGCTGGCTGCAGAGTGTTGTTCGCGAGCGCCTATTAAGGCCGGTTCCACCAGCACCAACCCCACGGCCGCCTTTGTCTCCCCGGTGTGAATTTTAACATGCAAACAGCCTCGGGGAGGGCCCATGACCGGTTCATGCGATGGCATTCGTCACCGATGTTGACCGTGAGCTCAACATAGAACTCGCTTCGCCGGGTCATTAGCTCGGTGCGCTAACCACTGCGCCACCGCTCCCTACGATTATTTCACACGGGGCACACAACACGCAAAAGATCTCCTGTGGCTGCCTCCATGGGCTGTTGGGGCAAGTGCTGCTAGCGAGCACTCGAGCGGGGTGGTCACAGCACCACGCCCGACCGCCTTTGTCTCCCCTCGTGGCGATGTTTAACACAGCGCACCGGGTTACTCATTTGAGGCCGAGTCGACCTGGCGGATGCCCAGGCCCGGTTCGTTAAGATATCTACTCTTAGTTCTTTCGGTAAAAGTCACGTAGGTAAAAAATGAAATCAAAATTAATAAAAATAAAAACAAAAACAATTTTGATTTCATTTTTTACCTACACGGTGACTTTACCGAAAGTACTAAGAGTATGAATCCTTGCAGTCACGAAAGCTTCAAATCTAGAATCGTTAAGATATGTCGCCGATGTCATCAGGGCAGTGCCCAAACCACTGCGCCACCGCTCCTCACACACACTCACACCCCGGCAATAAACTACGAGGGGTAGTCAGAGTTTTATCATAGACGTGGGTTGTTTGACTACATTATTTATGTTAGGGGCCGTCCATAAATGACGTCACACACCTAAGAGGGGGGGGGGGGTGTTGAGAAATGTGACGTCACATTAAAATGCGCAACTTTAAATAAATATAGACAACACGTTCTACTTATGATAATAGTTTTTTTACCCTTCTATCTGGCAACAAAACTGACACCTTTTTTACAAGGAGTCATGTTTGCATAGGCCACAATACCTGCAGTCATAATGCAAACAAAAAACACAACTCTGATAATGTATGCACTGTCCTTGAAGTTGATTGGTCCACACCCGAGACAGCTTTCCTTAGAGCCTAGTCTCACATGGTGTTGGACCAGATGACGCCAAAAGGCGCACAACTCAAAGACAATGCACCATCAGAGTATGAGAGCTCGGGGTAAGCATGCGAGATGCCAATGGTGACGTTCTACTTAATTAAATCGACTTTTTGATAAATGTTTTCTCCTACAACGTTAGAGTGCCACGCACTACAATGACAATAGTTTCAAGCGATTTGAAGCATGTTTTATTTTTTTGGGGGGGGGGGCAGAGCTTTGTGACGCCGTGTGACGAGGGGGGGGGGGTCAAAAATCGTCCAAAATCGCGTGACGTCATTTATGGACGGCCCCTTAGCACACGGGCTTTCGCCACCAATACAGTAACGCTGATTCACAATTGACCGTTTGGGTCAGATCACCGTGCAAGTGAATTATTGTGTGTGTGTGTCGTACGCCCCTGCTCCACCCGACATCACAGCCACAATCCATGAAGTTGCCACGTGCTGAACACACGTGGTCCATCTATTACCGCTTCAGCAGCATCTGGAACGATCTACACAGATTAAACACGTGGCAAGTCCGACGTTTCGCTGCATCATATACTAGCAAGGCAGTGGTTCTTAACCTGGTTTGCC